CAAAAGGACAGTATAAGGGGGACTTACGTTGCAGCAAAAAGTATGAAAATGGTGATCCTAGAAGGTAGCTCTAGTATCTGTGATTCTTCTGTAAGTTTGTTAGGTCTAAACTTCCTCAGTTCCTCGGGCTTTATTGGTGTCCCCTGTTCAAACTATGTCTAAAAAGTAATTTATCTCAGGAGTCTTCTATTGCTGACAGGGAAGGCTAAGAAGAACAAGCAATCCTGAATGATGCATCGATCAGCTAAGGTCTCCGATCGATATGGCAAAGGCCCTTTCGTGTGCACTCCTTGAGAGTGTCCTCACAGGCCATCCCTTTTAGCCCCCACTTCCTCTCCTGGCCTAGAATTCTCCAGAGGAAATATTGTTTGGATATGACAGGGAAGTATGAACCATAGGTAGGCAAGTCCTGGCCCTCCAGATGTTGCTGTTATTATTAATTTCATTTCTATGCCGCACCCCCAGCTGAAGCTCTCTGGGCAGTTCTCAACAAAATGCAAATAAAAGGTACACCCCTGTAATCCCCGAACACTGAACATGGTAGATAGAGCTGCTGGAAGTTGAAGGCCAAAACATCTGGAGGGCCCCAAGTTGCTCCCCCTGTTTGAAACAAGCACATTCCAGAAGTGGGGAGGCAGCCGTAAGCACCCTCCCCCCCCCACCGGTTGCCACCCTCCAAGCCTCCTTTGCAGGTGATGCTCAGAGGAAGTCCTCACATATCAAGGTAGTGTCTGGGTACATTCACTTTGCAGGAAACTTACCAGTTTATTAGGATGGGTTTATTTGTAGCATGCCTTTCAGAATAAAAATCATCACAAGGAAACATCATGACAACAAGGGATCGATTGTCCCACTGGGGATGGGTAAGGAATGTTTCCTTTGGTCACATGAGCTTACAAGCATGGGCAGGATCAGGCTCACTCTAGAGCAATGAGAGATTAATTTCAGACCTGTCAAAGCTAATTTGCTTTTTACTAGGGAAAAAATATACTGATTTATTTGCATTATAGCCCACCTTCTTCCTTTTTAAAGAACTCAGGGCAGCTTACATCATTCTCCTTGTGCTCTCCATCTTATCCCCACACCAACAACAACCCTGTGAGGTAGGTTGGGCTGAGGGTCTGACTGGCCCAAAGCCACCCAGTTGGCTCCATGGCTGAGTGGGGACGAGAACCCAGATCGCCTGAGCCCCGGGCCTGTGCTCCTAACCACTGCTCCACACTGACTCTACACCACAAATCCACCAACAGAACCAAGCACAAAAGAAATGTATGTTTAAACTGAAAGAACAGGGTGCCTGTGAGCACATTCTGAGTGCAAGGTTTGGTTTCACTACGAGAATGAACTGAGCTCACTGGTCTTTGCACACACAAGTACACTCATAGTGGCCCTCCCACAGCCTGCCTTCCTCTTAGCAGCTCAAGTGAGGTGGAGAAAAGTTGTTTTACTGTTCTTACTCTTCAGTGGTTGAGAATCAGAAGCCCTTACCAATGTATGCAGGGATACAGGGATAGTATCCAGATACTGGATATCTCCCAGTATGTTCTGATCTACTACTTTGGCTCTTAAAAGCAGGTTTAACTCAGATTTAGGAGGTAAGTTTAAACTCATTGATATCAGCTAGATTTGGGTGCTGGTGTGCACCTTTCTTTTCTCACCAGACTGAACAGATAGGAAGAGGATATTGGATATGCAAACAGGATATTAGATATTCTCAGAATGTTTCCATTGGCACAACAATGGCAATGCCATGGCTGGGCATCCCATTACGGTGAATGAGGACTGTCCCCTTGGATTCCCTCTGTGCACTTTCTTTCCCCTCTTTCTTCTTTTGGCTCAGTTTGCATATAATGAGCTTGTTCCTCACACTGTATTCATTACTCATGGCCTGAGGCAATGCTTGGAAGGGGAAAAGTCCCCAGCAGGTGGCACTATATAATCACTGATCTCCAGATCAGATGCAAGAACCAGGCAAACAAATAAACATAAGAAAGAAAATGCAGTGTAGAAGTTCATTATCATTTGACCCATTGTGATAAATAGTCTTCGGCACCACTTGACATTGGGCCCATTTGCACTGAGTTGCTTCTGAGCTGAATATGCAACCAACAACTGGCCCAATTTTTGGTTCTTAAGTGATGTGCAAACCTGGGCAGTACAGTTTATTTGTAAGTAAAACAATATAAAGTTGACCTCATAACTAATCTTGGGTTAACTTTGGGTTGATTAGCCCACGGACAACCCATCCTGTCCAGGTTTGCACATCACAAAGCAACCTATGCCAACCAAAGTTGACATATTCAAGCCAATAGATGCACATGCATGGCATAGTCTTATTGGCAAACCAGGTCTGTGTCAGTTTATGTCCAGCACCTTTATGCAGGACAAAGTACGCAGTTGTTACAGAAAGCGGAAACAAACCAGAAATATGAGTTGATGAGCTGATGAGTGTGCCCTTGTTGTATGATGTTTAAACTCGTGTTGTTGTTCTTGTTTTGTTTTGTTTCTCTCCCCACTTCAATATCCCAAAGGCAGATCAGTGTGCATGAATTATACTTCCAAACATTAGAAGTAGGCAAAGCCTCCATTTCAGGCCTCTCTGCTTATGATAACCATAGTTTTCACCCAGTCCAGGTGGACGTGACAGCTACTTTGTCCGATGCTGAACTGATTTTGTGTTTGCACGGCCATGGACTGAGGTCAGGCTAGATTTTACTCAAATCAGTGTTGAGTGCCAAAAGCCCAGCAAGGTCCATATTAGTAGAATCACGCATGTGCTGCACCATCCACCAACACAGCTGAAAGCCAGCACTGATTTAAAAACTGCAGCTGTTACAGGGTGAACCAGCCATGTGAATTGGGCAAATCCTTACAGCACAAAGCGCTGACTTTGAGCTGAACTGTAACTGGTTGCTAAACAAAGACAGGATTGTCTCACAGATGCAAAGAGGTTGGCTGCCCATTGTTCAGAGAGCAGGCTGAGAAAATACATATTGTTATGCGAAGAGAGTGAGGGATAAAGGAGCAGAAAATGGATGGTAAAGAACATTTTGTTGTTGATGCTACCCTTTAGTGAAGGCAATTAAACGGTATGTTCCCTGCGCAGAATTGAGTCGTTGCTTTTGTAGGGTTGAGAGCTGCTGCCTTGGGCCTTATGCCTGAGAAGACTTGCTTAGAAGTGAGTCCAGCTTCAGCCTTAGCCCTGCCTACTGCTGGAGTGTGGCTCCTGAGACCCTTCCCAAGTTGGAATTCAACCCCTGGGCCAAAACAATTTCTTCACCCTTGATATACATGAAACTACAAGCAGGAGCTCTGCAGGTAAGATGGTGCTGGTCTGCAGGTGACTCCCAACTCTGCCTCTCCTTCCCAGCTAATCTGGGTAGGGCAGTGGATGTTCTAACTGGTGTCTGGGCTCAATAATTAACTGGAGGAGTGCAGAAAACTCAGACTCCATCCAGATATGCCAACAGAGCTGTTATTGGATGTTTGTGCACCCAGTCAAATAGTTTGGTCTAAAGAGCACAGCATCCCCCCTAAAGCATCAGCTTTATGCTTTCAGAGGGCTCAAGGATCCAGCAGCATGGCCTCCGAATGCCTTTTATCAGCTTGGCCTGGTATCTCAACTGCTACCTTATCATGACAGAGAAAGCCTTGCTGCAATTATCTGCATTCCTTGCTGGATCCCTGTAATGCATAATATGTGGGACTGCTTTTGAAAGTGGTATGAAAACTTCAGTTCATTCAAAACATTGCAGCAAGATTGCTAACTGGAACAAGATGGTATCATTGCAGACTAGTGCTCTGGCTGCCTCTCCATTCCTAGGCCCAAATCAAAGTGATGGTATTAACCCTTAAAAGGCTTGGAGTTGGCATACGTGAAGCATCTCCTTCCATATATTTTTTCATGTTTAAGCCCTCAATTTTGAAAACACATTTGTGCTTTTTAGATCCTTGGTTGATGTTATCATCTGCCTTTCGTTTTTACTTTGATTTTATTCCAAGGCTGCCTTAATGTGTATTCATCTTTAAATTAGCTCCATTTGCCCATGACAGTGACAAATCATGGGCTAATTGTGGGTTAATTAATCCACAATTAGGTGATAATGTCCAGGTATGAATGTCATGGAACAACAGTAAGTCTGATTGGTGGTTATATATATGCAAAATGGGGGTGACACAATCCTGGCATGGACCACAACAAATCATGGCTAATTAACTCATGTTTTGCCACCATTAGCTACCAACCAGGTCATTACATTTTATTGTTCTTGTATTCCATGGTTTTACCTTCATTTTCTGAACTGTCTAAAGAGCTCCAGCTGTTGGACAGTATAGGGCGAAAGTTAATAAAAGAAATAATACTACTATTAGGACTAACTCAAGTGTCATGAAATTAGCAAGCAAGTTTTTGCATTCTCCAGAATTCTTTATCTAGCGGTATGTTAACCAAACAAGAAGTGGGGAAGGAAGAGAAAATGCTGGGTATAGTATTAGTACCCAAAGCCAGTTTGTCAGAGTTGAATATGGTAGTTGTACAATACCATCATATACATGTCTACTCAAAATAAATTCCATTAAGTTGTATAAGGCTTGCTCTGAGAAAAGTATGTATAGGATTTCAGGTGTAATTGGATCAGCCCCTGTTAGATGCAGTATGTTTTCAGAACACTGAGACCGCTGTGCCAAATAACACTGACTGCTGCCTCTTATTTTTGAATCTATAAAAGCTACCCTTTAGTTGGATTTATCTTCAGCTCAGATCGCAACTCATGTGTCCCCTGCATGAAACAGAGCAGAAGGGCAACAGAATAGTCTGTGCACTGCCAAAACTGGAGATTAATGTTAGGTTAAAAGAGTCATTAGAAGCCACAGTGGATGGCATTACCTAGTGGCTAGAATAAAGTCGTATCTCCAGGTGGTAGAAGATCAACTTCCTCCGGTTTTAAGATTCCATTTCTGGGTCATTTGAGCCACAATCCTATGCAGTTGTAGAGTCAGAATCAAAGTCAGAGTCAGTAAGTTTATTATATTTAGCCATGGGCCATTACAAGATAACAAGGTAAACATCAGACTAACAAATAAAACCATAAATCAAGTATATCAAAACATAATACTAAAAGAAGGACCAGGCATAATTCATGATGGTGTCCCCTTTAAAGCCTCCCAGCTTTTATCTTTTTAGCTGCAAGAGCAAAAAGAGAAACTCAATAAGAGACATATGGATCAGCACGTGATAAGAAAAACAATAATTTCTCAGAATCAGAGTAAGCATTAACAGCAGGTAGCATACGAGTCAAAAATTTTCTCTAGGTTTACAATATAAAGAACAGTTTAGAATATAATACAAGAGGTTCTCCTCTTCAGGTCATCCACAGGTAACAGACATGTTGCTCCATTGGAATATGAGTTGTAAGACTTTTTCCTGTCTAAACATACAGAAGATTATGCTCTTGACAAATAAATTATAATCTGATGAATTGGTAGAAGGTTCAGGACAGAGTCCCGACTGCCGTATGCATGAGGGTGCTGCTCTACTCATCTCCTTTTTGTGGCTTTCCTGTGAGCAGCGGGGGTGACGCTGTGTAAACAGAACACTGGACTAGATGGACCCTTGGCCTGATCCAGCAGAGTTACTCTCATGTTCTTAAAAGAAGACAAATAATTAAGGATAAATCACTGAGTTTGCACCCTTAACTGATTATATGTCAGGATAAATTACGATAGGATAGATCTCGCCTTTTTAATTAATTAATTAATACATTAAAACCCCCTTCCGGTTGACTGATTTTGGTATTCTTCAAAACATACAGACAGCCTAGGACTGATCCATTGGGAAAAACACTGACCTCTCACTTTTCTTTATTTTTTATATTAAAGAAATTAAAGTCTGCATCTGGTTTCCCTCTTAATACTTTGGAATGTTGGGTGATCCCCTTCCTCTTTGCAGTGCTTCCCTTGTGTTTATTTTCAGTTTGGTTTTGGTTCTCTATAATAGTAGACTTGCAGTTTTGATGTTCCAGCTAAATCTAGCTCCCTTGCAAAGAAATGCTCCACTGCACCATGCACCAGACTATTACTGCAGGGGTTCCCTACAAATACTGCCATTGTTGTTGTTGTTGTTAGTCGTGAAGTCGTGTCCGACCCATCACAACCCCATGGACAACATTCCTCCAGGCCTTCCTGTCCCGGAGTCCACTTAAGCTCACACCAACTGCTTTCAGTGACTCCATCTAGCCACCTCATCCTCTGCTGTCCCCTTCTTTTTTTGCCATCTATTGTTCCCAGCATTAGGCTCTTCTCCAGGGAGCCCTTCCTTCTCATTAGGTGGCCAAAGTATTTGAGTTTCATCTTCAGTATCTGGCCTTCTAAAGAGCAGTCAGGGTTGACTGACTGGTTTGATCGTCTTGCAGTCCAGGGGACTTGCAGGAATCTCCTGCAGCACCACAATTCAAAGGCCTCAATTCTTCGGCGCTCAGCCTTCCTTATGGTCCAGCTTTCACAGCCGTACATTGCAACTGGGAAAACCATAGCCTTGACTATACGCACTTTTGTTGGCAGGGTGATGTCTCTGCTTTTTAGTATGCTGTCTAGATTTGCCATAGCTTTCCTCCCAGGAGCAAGCGTCTTTTAATTTCTTGGCTGCAGTCCCCACCTAGCCTTCCTTAACTGAAACCATTGGATTGGGCAACATATTAAAACAACACATTTATAAGAGTACTCTGTGTGTGCAGGGGGAGGTGGTGAGTAGGAAATCCACATAGTACATATACCAAAACATTCCTTTCAAATCCCTTCAAGATAATTTGGTTCCCCGTTTGTCCACAAGTTGGCACTGTTTATATTCTAAGCCAACCTGTTCTACTTTATTCCCTTAGCTCAGCCTTCCCCAACTTGCTGACTTTCAGATTTATTGCACTGTAACTCCTAGAATCTCCCAGGCAACTATGCCGAGTTGACACAGTTAAACTAAACTTTTAGGGGAAGACTTTGGCAGGTTTGGGAAGGGGAGCAATTTTCTTCTGGAAAGCAGCATGTGAGGAAAGATTTAATACCTCTTCCTCCCCTTCAGTTCCAATCTGAATTTTTATCCAGTTGCCTCCTGTAAGAATTTGGAGAGGAGGGAGATCCAATTTTGTTCCCTGCTACAGTTGCCTCCTGTTCTGCCAGGTCAAGCCTACCATTAGCAACTGTGAGGCAGGTGCCTTGAGCAGCAGCAGATCTTGGTTGACATTGAAGTGAAGCAAAGTAAGAATGCCATTTGGATTGCCTGCCTCTGGTGCCAAATTGAAGTCAGAGCCCATTTGGGTGATCTCATACACGTTTTATGGCCTACTGGGCTTACACTACTGAGATGAGTTGCCTGATAAGAATATAATTTTGCCTACCGGGCAAATTATGTGGCCATGTGATTCCCACTTCACCTCAAAACACTAATCTGCCCAGTAACTACCAGTCCTCCTTTCTAGACTGATACAGGCATTTAGCCTTCAAGCAAATGGCCATGATCAGAGTTCTTGTACGTGTACAAGCAGAAATCCAGTATCTTAGCAACTTCTGCTTCTCCCCAAACCAGCATTTCTAGAAAATGGAGGTGAGTGCATAGGAGAGTTTGGTTGGGGAACAGCAACGACTTTACTCGTGGGACCTTGAGGAATGTTGCCTGGGGGGCTACCACATTTTCTGTGGCTGCAGCTTGGCTCTGGAACGCCTGTCTAGTATCCTTTTTATTATCATTTAGGTGCTGGTTAAAGATGTTGATTTGTGCAATTGCACTTTGACTGACTGATTATATTGATGGTCTTATTGTCTCTGACTCTCTGTGATTTTAGAGTCTTGGGTTTGATGTTGTTTATGAGGCATCTTGTGTTTTCTATCAACTGTTAGCTGTCTTGGGCTCTTTCTGAGGGATGGTGGGATAGTAATCAAAGATATCAATAACTTGTTACTTGTTACTGTTGGCATGCAGAGGTGCAGGAACTAACAGGTCAGGAGTGAGTCCAGAGAAAGAGGGCAGAGCAGGCCCATGGTGCTGGGCTATTCCACCGCTGCTGCTGCTGCTTGAAGCCCCTTTGTGGCTCCTGACCAGCAGAACCACAGAATCATAGAACAGATGGGTCAGCAGGGGCCAAGAAGGCCATCGAGTCCAGTCCCTGTTAGTGCAGGATGGCAGTTACATCATCCCTGTCAAATAACAGTCCAATTGCTTCTTGAAAGACTTTAGTGCAGAAGGGCACACAAACTCTCTTGCGAGCTTGTTCCACTGTTGTACTGCTCTCACAGTCAGGAAATTCTTCCTTGTGTCTAGCCTGCACCTGGTGTACTGTAGTTTACGTTCATTGTTCTTTGTTCTACAATTTGGGATGAGTAAGAATAGTTCTCCTCCTTCTTTGTGACAGCCTCTGTGGTATCTGTAGAGTGCTATCATGTCACCTCATAGTCTTATTTTCTCAAGGCAGAACAGGCCCACTTCTTTCAGCTTCTCATCATAAGACTTAGTTTCCAGGCCCTGTATCATTCTTGTTGCCCTCCTCAGAACTGTCTACAGATTAGCAGCATTCTTTTTAAACCTGGGTGCCCAAAACTGAACACTCTATTCCAGGTGAGGTCTGACAGATGCAGAGTAGAGGGAAATTACCACTTCTGTTTCTGGAAGTGATGCCTCTGTTTATGCATCCCAAAATAGTGTTTGCCTTTTTTGCAGGTGCATCATATTGGTGGCTCCTATTTAGCTTGTTGTCTCAGTGTGGGAATTCTCAGGGTGGTTCCTGGGCATCATTCCCAGCTACTAGAAGCCCTCTTTTATTGTAAATCAGCATGTTGCAATACTGATAAAGTGATTCATTTCCCTTTAGGAAATCTCTTATAAGAAAGATTTCTTGACTTAGGCTGCAATCCAATGCACATTTACCTGGGAGTAAGGGCCACTGAAAGCAGTGCAACTTCCATCTGAATAGCCCTCTACAGGATTGTACTCTGCTTACCTTAATGTCCAATGCTCTTTCTGGAATGATGGGATAATAGAGTTTTCTTGGCTTCCACATGATTGGGCTTGGGTTTGGTATTCAGCCCTTTCAGTCATGAATCACTGAATTCTTCTCAGCATAACACAGATTCTTCCATGGATTCCCTCCACGATTCTGGCCAAGGTATTGCACACACAGGAAAAGTGGAGAAACAATATTTGCTATCCGGATAGGGGAAGGAGAATTAAATATGGCAGAGGTTGATGGATCTTAAAGCTATCCTTCCAAGGTGTAAGTTAAATGAGAGATAAAAGTTCTGGGTTTTGTTCAGGTGATTGGGAAATGTTGCACGGTAGTGAAAATTAGGGGCAAGAGGAACAACATGATGTACTTTTCCCTGCTCTGCATTTTAGTAAGTCAACTCAGAACTTGAAATACAAATAGGTTTGGGAAGGAGCACTTCCCAAACTTCATCGGTCATTGTCTGTCCACTTTCTACAAGTGGCAGCACCTAGAACATGCAGGTTTTCTCCCAGCCTCTCGGCTGCTCCATCTTCACCGCGCGCAGAATCAGTCTCGAGTCCTGGATGTGATAAAACTACTTGCTGGTCCGCAGAGACTGTGGAGAGAGTGGCGGCCCGATGGCTCCGAAGGCTGTCCCGCTCGCCTGCCCTTCTAGCCCTGCCGATCATTTCTGCTCTCGCCTCCCAGGATTTTGATGAACCGCCTCCTCCTCCAGCTGCAAGTACTCAGATGCTGGAGCGGCTGAGCTCCGGGAGCTGCCTCCCAAGCGCACGTGAAGAGCCGGGTCGCAGCCGTCCTGCTCTCCTCTCCTCCCCTCCCCTCCCCGCCTGCCTCCCGTGCTCTTTCCAGGAGCTCAGCTCTGCGGGGCAGAGGGCGGAGCGGTGACCGTGTGCCCGGAGAAAAAGGGAAAGCGGCACGACGGAGCTCGGGAGCATCCGCGACGAGAGACACCGTGTGAGTAGATACCCGGCGGGTCAGTTTGCTTTCTCGCCTCAAGGGCGCGCTGGGTCTCTGCCCCGAGGCAACCGCCTCCCACTGGCTGCCCACGCCTTGGAACGGTTCCGCGCCTCCCACCACCACCGGCTGCGAGAGAGAGACTGAGCAGAGCTGCGCGGCTCCCCGCCGCGGTGGGGGCGGCATCCGAGCTGCTGGGACACTCGCTGGCCGCCCCCTGGCTTGTACTTTGCCCTCTCCTCTTCCACGCCTCTAGAAGGGGGCGGAATCTCCGGGGGGTCCTCCCAAGGCAACCCCGGGCAGTCTGCCCTCCGGCAGGGCTGCTCCCCACCCCCATTCTCAGGGCTGGGAATATTCCTCCGTACGTTTCTTGGGGGGAAAAAGCTACGTTTGTGCGCTTGTCCGTTTGCGTTCCTTGTCAGGCTGCCTGCCCCTCCCCGCCCCTCCCCTCCCCTCCCCACAACTCACAGGCCTGGATTCCAGAGGGATATTGCCACTCTCCTCCTGGACTTGTCAAGCTGGAACCGAGATTTATTACCTTCTCCATCCCGGTGCTCAACGGCTGGATTTCGCCCTGTCCTCCAACCCACACGAAGGGCTAGAATTCTGGATCCTTCCTCACTGCGCTCCAGGAAACAGTCAAGCTCCTCTCCACCTGGGAACCCAGGCTCTGGAGGCTGGATTTGCCAAAGGGCTGAGTAACCTGACCCCGCAGTGGCAAGTTGACTTGAAAAGATCATGCCAACAGAGTGTGCCGGACTTCTGAAAGTTGTGCCACAGCAGAGTTTGGGAGAGCCCAAAGATGGAAATGTCCAGGTGACTGTGCGGAGCTCAAGAGGGTTGGATGGTGGTAATGTGACCACTCAGAGAAGCCCCATAAAGAAGACCTGGGTGGCTTTGGATATCTTCTGCTTCCTTGTAGGTGAGTGGGGCAAGAAGCGGGTGAGGGAGAGGATAGAAACATACAAAACACAGGGTGAATTCAGCCAGCCGCTCACAAAGGGGCGATTTCTGCCCCTGCCAGGAAAAACCTGACTGGATTTCTGCTGTTAATGGGACAAGGGAAACGTCTTGCGAGTAAGAAAAGTTACCTCTGACCAAGGGCGGTGGTGGACCATCCTCCTCCATGTACTTTGCCAAAGGGTGGATGGGTGTCTGTCCTCTCCTACTATTTCATCCATGCAAAGCACAGCAAAGTGGGAATCTGCTGGGTACACCAGTTAGGCTTTTTAGGCTGAAAGCCTGGATCCAGACAAAGGTTGGGCAACTCTAATCCTCCTAACGTGCAATTGCTTAATATGTAGCGTGTGTTGCAATTCATAGCTTGGTATTTTATTTTAGTGCTCTGATATTTATGTATTAGGTATGCTAAAGCAGCCAGCTTGTTATGATACAAGGTAGCCAGTTGCTCCAAATAAGTGTGCCAAACTGCCAGTTTGGCGAACCAGAAATTAGTATGCAGGGAAAATTTCTGCGAAAATATTCATTTAATCCAGAAAGTACTGAGGTGGTGGGTGGGACACGGCAGGGCAGGACAGTGCAGTGCAGAACAGCTATTTTTGGCTGGGTGGGGGAACCCAGGGCCTGGACAGAATCACGTCTCCCATATCTTTAATGTGGCTTTAATAAGAATACGTCATTATTTGCCTGGGGACAAGCAGTGAGACTTGCTAGCAGCAAAGTTTCCTTCCTCCCTTTTACCCTCGAGTTTCTCTGCCAGAGGCTGCTCTTAGGAAAGCAGCTCATGACTTGGTGGCCATGCCTTTTCCTTCTTGCTGTCTGGGGCCACATGGATGCAGCAGGAGGGATGATAGCGAGTGACCATTCACTGGCTGCTCCATTGCATGCCCATGTGATGCCGAGTGAGACTCAACCCTGCGTGCAAAAGAGTATCAGATCTGCCACGTGGGTGCATTCCTGACGGAATGGTTGCACCTAGTTGCACCTGGCAGGAATTTTAGCACAGTTGATAAAGATGTCTTTTTAGGCACCAAACCATCCGGCCCTGGAGGAGAGATGCCTTTGCCTTGAGGCAAGGTGAGGGAGCTGCTTTATGCTGTACCCACAAATGGGTGCTTCTGGATTAATTAAGCTTGAGAGGTGAGGAAATCTTCAGGAGAAATTGGTGGGTGGGAGGGCACCCTCCGCCAGGCTTGCTTTCTTCCTCTCTGGGCTTGTTTTTGGTGATAGAGTTAGCAGTCCCAAGAAGGTGTAGAGAAGAATTAGTGGGTGGGAGTTCAGTTGAAACTCCACTTCTCACTCACCAGTCCTCCCCTGCAAATGCCATCCACACCCTGCACTGGCATTAGGGAGAATTGATGGGGAGGGGGCCCCTGGGATATCTTTTTCTGCAGCAGTTGATTTTGGTCACCATTTAAGGTGGCAGAACAAATCTAGGCCCAGGGGAACAATTGGCTGAGAATTCCTTGCCTTATGCCTATTCCATCAGAATCATTTTTGTGATCCAAATTAAATGGATTGTTATGGCAGAGCCATTGTCCCAGGCATGGGTTGCTAAAGCACAACTCCAAACCTTAAAGCCAGCTTCCCCAACTTCGGATGCGTTGGATTGCAGCTCCCATCATCCCTGACCATTGGCTATGTTGTTTAGAGCTGATGAGATTTTGAATCTAGCACCATCTCTGTGCTCAAGGACGTTGGTGAATCCATACAGGCATTCAGGGGAAACCAGCATGGCTCTGGGGGAAGCATTTCAGTCCCAGTCAGGCCCGTACACTGACGTTCCTGCTTTTCCCTTGTTTTTTAATTGCCTTCTGGCATTGTTCCAGCAGGAAGCAACTTGGAGCAGAGGTCAAGAGAAGGACAAGGGTGGTGCTGAGCTGGAGGGAGGTGTTTGGATACGGGGGACAGATGGGAAGGTGAGGTGGTGGAGATTGGAACTGGGCTGGTCCTCTCACGAAGCCAGGGCTCTACCGCACGTGGCAGAGCACGAGCAGCAGTGAACATGCCGTCCTGGCCCTGCCGGGAGGACCTGCTGCCACCACGTGCCTGCCTTCATGTCCACCGACACACACCAACTGTGGGGGGGTCTCCCCCCCCCATTTCCCCATCCCATTGCTGCTGCTGGCTGGAAAAATGCCTGGCATGCATCTTCAGGTAGCCAGGCCAGGCCCCAGCGCCAGGCCCTGTGGGGATGCTGGACCATGGGTGATCTCCAGGCAAACCAGTTCCTCCCACAGTGCCAGGCTCTAAGGAAGGACACACGCAGAGCTAGCTGCTTGGGCCTGGCCAACTGCCTGAAGGGGTGCACTGGCCACTCTGCTAGCCAGCGCAGCTTTGCCGAGAGCCGGGATGCCTGCTCGGAGTGGATCCACAGAGAGACTGGGCGGGGGGGGGGGGCAGGGAGCAGGGAAGTGGCAACAGCATGGGGGGGGCAGTGGCCCCATGGCAGGCAGGGTGCGTGTGCTTTTCTACTCCACTTGGCAGGGGAGCTTGCGCTGGGTGGAAACAGCAGGACAAGGTGCCAGGTGGGAAGAATGTGAAATCCCCTTTTCTAGGCGCAGCATGACGGGAGGAGGACAGCTCTGCGCACTTTCCCCTTCGTGTTCTGCTGCTGCCCTAAGCCAGCCGGCCTCAGCACGATTCCCTCCAGATGTGCCGAACTACAACCCCTCGCATTCCTGGCCATTGAACAGGCTGGCTGGGGCTGATGGGATTGGAGCTCTGGAGTGCCCCAGGATAGGAAAGCCCTTGAGTGAAACCCAGCAGGGATCAGAAATCATCGATTATTTTAAAAGTGGCCATTTTTAAAAAAACATGAAATAGCGCACCACAAATTGAGAAACCAGTTGAGACGCTGTGTGTGTGTCTGTGTGTCTGTGTGTGTGTGTACGCGCGTGCACAAGAGAGCAAAAGGGAGGAGAAAGGAATTGGGACAAAAGGAAGGAATTGTTTCTACACTCGTTGCCACTGTAGAGATAACAGTTTCAACTGAGTTTGAGGAAGGCTGTCTCTCAAGAGGTGTCTGCCTGTTAAAGGTAATCTGTTTGGAATACTAATAATTAGCAGTTATACAGTGCTTTATAATGTTTAGAGAGCTTCCATTACCTTTTTGGCCGTTAACCCCACAAAGTCAGGAAGTCTTAGTGTCCACTGTTGCAAATGAGAAAGCAGATCGCCAAGGCAAAGACATGCACCAGGTGGTTCTCCAAATGCTGGTGACTGGCAGCTTCCATCATCCCCACCACTGGTGTGGGCTGATAGAAGTTGCTGTCCAACAGCATCCTTTGAAGTATTGGCTTTGTACAGCAATTTATTTAATTTATTTACATTTGCAGCCACCAAATAACTGAACTTTTATCAGCAGCATACAAATTAAATGTCTAAAACATGGGTCCTCAAACTAGGGCCTCTGGGCCGGGACCGGCCCACTATGCCCATTTATCCGGCCCGCCTCAGAGGTTTTGGACTCCCTGCGCCCGCCGCTGCCCACCCCGCCATGCGTGCACTCGCCGTCACCTCGCCACATGTGTGGTGAGGCAGTGGCTCGCTCGCTCGGAGGTTGTTTTGGACTCACTTGGAGATCTTTGAGCGAGCGAGCCGCTGCCTCACCGTGCGCGCCCACCACCTCACTGGCCCGTACCCACCGTCGCCACCTTTCAACTGGCCCCCTGTTGAAAAGGTTTGAGGACCCCTGGTCTAAAATACGAAATAGCAAAAAAACAATAACCATGAGCAGACTGAGAGGGGCCTTCATGGCCCCTTCCAACTGTAGTATTCTATGATTGTATATCATGAACCCTAAAATAAAGCCAGCTACAGAATAAAAGTGCTAAGAGCTAAAAGCACACACGCATGTGTGCGCACGGGTGCACGCACACACACTATCCCTAAAATGTCAAGGAAAATCAAAAGGCACCACTTCTTTCCTGTAGCTACCTGCCTTGCCTCATTTGGTGAGGTGAGGGGCAGCTAGAGAAGGCATACCTGAGTTCATGCCATGAGAAAAGGAATAGATTGGGAAATGCTTATACCAGGACTATGAACTACTTAGTAAATTCTTAGCAAATTCTTCGGTTAATATTTGTGTTCATTCATCAGTACAGTGCGCTCTCTAGGGCATGCTGGTTTATTTTGATTCTGGTGACTTACTGCGCTAGGGAATGACGACAATTGTGCCAGCCTTTTCTTACCTATCAATGGAAAAGTTTAAGTCATAAATGTTATCTGACTTTTCTTCCACTTCATGTCTTTGTTTCGGGGCTTCAGCCAAGTATCAACTAAATGTTGACTGTTGAATGCATTTTCATCAGATAACAGGTGGCAATTAATTAATGAAAAATTCTTTTACCAGCTCAGATTTATACAGAGGCAGCCTGCTGTCAGCCAGCATCTAGATTTTGTTGGTGTTCTGCCTGTGCGTATGCAGGCTCATGTGCTCCCCCATTTTGAAGCACTGCTTCGAAATAGTGAGCTGTCTGTCTGGATCATTTTTGCCTGCACCGGCGTTGAGAGCTTAATTCCCAGTTCAGATCATGCACGTGTACATGCACAGCCACCCAACTCTTTTTTAGCTTCAGGGGCAGTGCGGGGACTGGAGCCCTGTGAGACAGCAGGTGCTTTGCAGAGACGCCAGCATGTAAATCCTTGGCATGTCTATTTCAGAGGTTCTTGGATAGCAGGCCTGGGAAAGAAACTTTCCTGGAGAGCTGGTCAGGGTAGGCCTCCAGGTGCACTGCACCATAGTTACCATTATCCCCAGAAAGCAAGGGCTGGCTGGGGTGTTGGGAGCTGTAGTCAACACATCTGGGAGGTACCATGTTGGGGAAGACTGGGGTAGATAGTGCCAAGCTAGCAGGAACCAATAGTGTGATTTTGCATATGGCATTTTCAGTTGTTTATACAAATGTGGGCAGGCTGCCGTTGATTCCAGGAAGCACAAGCAGGCCTCTGGCACATTTG